TGTAACACCCCAACCCGCGTAGCCCGAACCAACGGGTTAGCGAACCGGGTTGTTACTAAATTGGTATTCGCATGCATAATTTTTTTTAAAAAGAAAATAATCAAGTGAATAAATTATAAAATTCATCCATGAGAGTTCAAAACTAAACCAAAATTTATCGGAGTAATAAAACAAGTCCAAACGTCGCGGAAGTAGAATAAAACCAAAGTAACGTCCAACAGTCCATATAACCAAATATAATTATGTGGTTTAATTATTAAAGTAATAGGAGCCATCCACGCCACACCACCACTTCACTGCCCTCCGGGTTGCCCATCAAAATCTGTGTTCCTACCTGCGTGCAGTCAAACAACAACGACTACACGCTCAGCGAATTGCTGAGTGAAAATATATCTAAGCTAGCATTAACTCACAGAATAACATCACATTAACATACAATCAACAACCGTATGTGGTCACGGAGGAAATAAACATATTTATTTTAACACCTTCCATTTGAACATCATGTCCTTATTTTATTCCACATCAACTACTTTGAGTCATGGCACCCCAAGCGATGCTATAAAAGGGCCAGCTCAGAAACCCAAAGGACATTCACTTTGGGCGGGTTGAAGCCCCTGTTCCTGCGATGCCAGGAAAGGTCGTGGACTTCCGTACGTACGTTTTTAACCCAAGACCAACAGGGGTGCGACGACGCCCCGCAATGGCCAACTTCCTAACCATACCCTATTAGTGATTCAATCAGTCAATCCAATTCAGGTCCGCCTAATTATACTAGGTGCCATATTTCCCATATATCATTCATAATCCATAATATTCACCAATAAGATCAATTTAACTTAAATTCCAGTTCACAATTCACAACAAGTCACGTAGCGGCCTATCCAGGCCAAAGACCCACGATTACCGTCATGCATAATCAAACAACCCGAATTACACTTAACCCAACTTACCTGCGCAGAGTCGAGACCAAGGAATCAATCCTTGGGCCCGCTGCCCCCACCGGAGCAGTATCAACTACCACCGGATCAGTCGACAACCCGACGGACCAATCCGGCAGCCCCAACCTGCTGCCCGTTCAGGCAGCCCCCACTCAACCGGCCCACGCTGCCGGCCCAACGGCCCAACGCAGCCGGCCCAACAGCCAGACCCGCCGGCCCAGCAGCCCGGTCAGTCAGCCCAACGACCCGGTCTGCCCAACTGCCCGGACAGCCCCAATTGAATCCAAACTCCCCCGTTTGCACCCAAGTCAAACCCAATTGAAACCCGAATTAACCCGATTAAACCAATTGGGTCCAAATTGAACCCGTCGGAAACTGCCCGTACGTTGGCCGTAGCCACCACCGGCCAGCCGCCGGCCAATTCGCTGGAAAACAGCCCCCAACACAACCCCAATCCAATCTAATTTACAATCAACCACAAATTTCACAATCAAACACAAAATTGATACCACAAGATCCTAATCTACGAATTAATGCCAACTATAGATATAGTAACCACGAATCACCTCGAATTACTGAAGAATTAGAAACCAAATCAGAAGAGGGACGCTCGCCGCTGCACTCCCTGTTGCGGCCGAATCTATCGTGCGACAGGGAAGGAGGAACGACGACGGTGGCTACGACGTTTGGCGAGGGCGGCGTCGGCAGAGCTCGGCGGCGCTGCTGCTGGCTGACGGGACGACGAGGGTGAACGGAAGTCAGGCGCAGAGGTACAGACGGGAAACGTACGGGAAATGGAGAGTGTCCGTTTCTTTGTAACCCCTCCTGTATTTAATATGAGAATTTATTAAATTTGGGGTCCAGTTTACACTTTCTAACCGGTCAGGATGTATTTAGGTCCAATTACCTTATTCAGCAGTCGTATCTTAGGCCCTGTAAGTCCGATTCTCAATCCGTTTGTGCGGTCAGGTTCAGAACAGCGAGCCCTACAACGTAGGTCAACTCTCGTATTAAATACACAAATTAGAAAATAATCTTCATTTTGACCGACTTAGTAATTAATTAATTATATAAATTAATTAAAAATACCAAGCCGGGTTTTGGGGCGTTACATCGTATATATCATGAAATGAGTTGGATTAAAATATTGTGAATAACATAAACGATGAATGCTTGAATTGTATATATTGTATGCATGATAACAAATGGTTGATTGTGAATTGAGATTCAATTTATAAGGATGTTCCACTCACAAATTGTTTTGAACAAATTATAGAAACTCCTGGTGGATGAAATTTTATTTAATTGAAGGAGAATATTGCGGAATCAAGGTACTTGAATATAAAGATAGTTTTTAACTTACTAACCCATCTAAAATGAATTATATGAAAACAAAATTCTTTAATTGAGCACTACATAGAAACAAATAATACTTTTTGCAGAGCTTATAATCTCCCGAGAAGACCTTTGCTTAATTGGAATGAATGATCGTTAAAGGAATTCAATGGCATGCCATTTGGAGATGACAATCAACTTAATAGATATCAAAATAATTTCTTGGTAGAGGAGTTGAACTACGACAAAAAAAAGTTGTCATTTGATCTTAGAGGATATTTATCTACTGTGAATGAAGATTAGTAGAATATATCTAATGAAATAACAGAAGTCATGATAGTTGAAAGAGGAAGTTCTTTTTTGTGCATGTTCATGGTAGAACCAGAAAAATATTTCTCTAGAAATCATTGTCTACTTCTCTGAGGTCAAATGGTAAGGTTGTCCTAAATGTCACATCCAACTACATTGTAGCATTGCTTTTGCCTAGGGGAAGGAGACTCGAGATTTTTAATCCCATTGGTGCTAATCGAGTGCTCATTATGTGTCATCAAACAAGAGAGCTCGAAAAGAGACCTAATCTAACAAGTAAGTATAACCACACAGAATTTGTCATCTACGATGAATATATTATCTTTTGAGACATTGGATTGCACAATGAGAGATGCAATGATGTTCTCTAATAATAACTTCATAGATGCACCATTCAGATGGAAAACAATTATACTCAAAGGCGATTTTATCCAAATTCTTTCAGTTTTATTCCTTGTTTTGAGAGAGAAAATTATATGTGCTACTACCAATTCCTCAGAAATGCGGTTGTATTGTAAAATTTATACGTTGACTAATGATATGAGATTGCATTAATCTACACTCTCTTGCACGGATAGGGACACACACATAAGCTTTTTCTGATTAGATAATCAAAGTCGAAGATGGAAAAGTTAGACAAGTGATCAATGGAACTACTGACGTTGAAACCCCGCCTGAATTCTTGATTCTTGACACAAGTTATCCCCTAAAGAATATAGTGGGAACTTCACTTATCCAAACCTATTAGAAAGATGAGAAATTATTCTTTTTTAAGGATAGTGCACTATTAGCACCCAACGCTCGAGTTTGTTGAATGATAAATGAATTTATCCTATCCCTTATTCTAGGAGTTGAAAAAGAGTACTTAAGTTCCGATTTTCATGCAAAGCCGATTTAATTATAGATGTTGAAGACGATAACACTCCATTTTTATAATAAAATTAAATGTTCGAGGATGATAAACCACAAAATAGTTTTTTAAAAATGGATACCGATTATCTCATTGAAGAACATTGACCAAATATCTAGATTATGTAATGGTAGAAGACTAATTGTTGAGAAGCTGAAAAAGAACATTATCACTGCAATTTAGGTTTCAGGAAATTAGTTGGAAAAAAGATTTACATACCTCGAATGAATTTTAAACCATCTCTTTCAGGACTACCTCTAAAATTCTAGAGAAGACAATTCTCAATAGTCTCATACTCCGTATTTTGCTATGACTATTAACAAAAGTCAAGGTCAAACATTATCTTTTGCTGTATTATTTTTAACCAATTCAGTATTTACTCTTGGTTAGCTTTATGTTACTTTTCCACGAGTGAAGGTAAATACATGATTAAAATTATTGGTTATAGATGACAATGGAAATCCTTACAACCATACCAAAAATGTTGTGTACTCTAAAGTTTTTCAAAAAGTTTGGAATTAAAAAAGATTTTTTCGAATACACTTTCAATTCCTCAAATATTATTTATTCTACTTTGTCGTTGTTGTCCATAGGTTAAAAATCATGTTAGAAATATATTTACTTGATTCCAGAAAATATATTACATTGAAAAGAATCGAAACCGACAAAAATTTTGTTCGACCCGTGCATCGCACGGGTCAAAATACTAGTATGAATACAATTTAGGACATTAAAATTGTGTCGGAAGTAATTAGAAATGCAAGACTGTGATGTTGATTATGAAATAAATAACTATCTCTGTTTCAATTAATTAGAATTACTAATTACGTTTAAAGACAATTTTCAAAATAAATAATATTGTAAAGATGATATAAATAAAAAATAATTTGCAGTGACAAAGGAAAAAGTCGTCTATTTTACAAAAAACGAATGACATATTTAAACGTTAGCTATTAGTGACAAAAGGCCCCGTTTGGCACTAACGTTAGAAGTTAGTGTTAGCGCTTTGAAAAGACAATCTGACGGTATTCTTAAAAATTCGTACTTTCAGAGTTAATCTACACTATTAGAATTTTAACTAAAACGCTAATTGAAAACGCTCTTTCCAAACAAAGCCAAAGAAAATATGGAGTGAATGTTTATTCTTTGGTTTTGGTTTTTTAATTAAAACAAAATACTTTCCATACATATATATTTTTAATTCTCGGTATTTCAAAATAACTCAGACAAGTACAGCACTCAAAGTTCAAAGTCCAAACAATTACTCAAAAAATTAATTTTCCTCTTTTGAATATTTATAAATTTAGTATTCAAAAGTCAAGACATCACATTCTCAAATTAAAAAGTTTGGTGTTTTACTGTGTGGTGAGCATGAGCAGACTGTCGATTTATAGAAACTTTCCAAGAAAAAACATGGTACTAAAAATAAAATCAGAGAATTTAATTTTTCTTGAAGAAAAAATCACACACAGTATATATCCAACCTTCTCGCAGGATGGTTGCGAAACAAAACCCTAAAAGGGGGTTCTGTGAAACAATTCGCCGCCGGAATGATCCCTTCCTCCCCTTTATAATCTCAACAATCGTAGTAGCGACAACCCTATCTCACTTGTTTGTTTAGTCTTTCATCATCTCAAAAGTCTCTTGAAAAAATTCAATTTTTTCCCATTCAATCAATCATGGGACTCAGTTACAAAGAAACAAGTTAATTTTTATGCTTCAGTGGTGTGTGCTCGCAGAGGGTTCGGAGTTATTTTTATTAAATTCGTTATAAAGGAATGAACTCTGCTTGAGTTTGTAGTACTGTAGTAATAAAGATTGGATTTTTTCCCCCGAGGTCAAAGTTGCGATTTTTTTGAGCTCTTCCATGTGGGTCTTTATGAGTTTGGTGGATTTTAGGGTTTGTAGGTATAATGGGTATATGTAGGGTTGGTTTGTGGGAATGAATGAATAAGTGATTGGTCGATCTCTTTTGAGCCTGTGAATATGTTGTCTGAATTGGATAGGAGGCCAATGAATGGAACCAACGACAGCAACTTATTTGGAGATGAGTTGGAGAAGGAGATTGGACTGTTGCTCCGTGAACACCGCCGGCAGGAATCCGGTGATCTTGAAAAGGAGCTGAGTTTGTATAGAAGTGGTTCGGCCCCTCCAACGGTGGAGGGTTCATTGAGTGCTGTGGGTGGATTGTTTAACCATGGTGGCAGTGCTTCTAGTAACTCAACCTTTCAGGAATTCGAGTGGAATAGAACTGGAAATGGTTTCGTATCGGAAGATGAAGTTAGATCTGATCCTGCTTACTTATCTTACTATTACTCGAATGTGAATCTAAACCCTAGGTTGCCTCCTCCTCTGTTGTCAAAGGAGGATTGGCGATTTACTCAAAGATTGCAAGGTGGGGGCTCAGCGATTGGAGATAGAAGGAAGATTCACAAGAATGATGGTTCCCCTGCTGGGAGGTCACTCTTCTCAATGCCTCCTGGATTTAACACTAAGAAGGCAGAAACAGAGAGCGAGCCTGATAACTTACAGGCTTCGGTTGAGTGGGGCGGGGATGGACTGATTGGTTTGCCTGGATTAGGATTGGGTACTAGTCAGAAAAGCATTGCTGAGGTCGTTCAGGTGAATTTCTAATAAAAGATTTATGTGCTTTGGTTATATGTGGTGATTTTCATTTGTAAATGCACAAACGTATATATAAACATTATTATTTTCTGTGTATTGATAAGTTATCCGTGCTTTGGTTATATATGATGATTTACATTTATAACTGTGCATACATATATATTCACGTTATATAATTTCCTGTGGAATGATTATTAAAAGCCTGGACCTTTAGAATGATTTACATTTATAAATGTGCTTTAGTGCATATGTCATGGCGTATGTTGTACCTGACAAATATATTCGTATGTTTTGTGTGGATCAGTTATTTACTATGTGTAGCCCTGTAATACTACATATGATTTTGCTTGGAATGAAAGCTTTTGAACTTATGTTTCTTACCTTAGTTTCTTTCTTTTTGTGGGTCACACACCTTAGTATTTGTGAGCATATGTGATTCGCGATGTGAAAGTTGATTTAACAATATCAATCTTGTAATGGGACATGACGATATGAATATTTCAATTCATTGTTGCTGCATGATATTTTCTATCCTATATCAGAAAAATTTATAATAATGACGGGGTTTAAATATCATATCGTCATTGCTTAGGTTGCGACATGAAGGGTTCATGCCATATTACTATGCTTTAACTATTTGATAAATTTAATTCACCCTTATCCACATTACTTTTTTGTGCTGATACTGATCAAGAAAGTTTGCTTGCAACCATCTTGATGTCTTGGCTTATTTCCTCTGCAGAAAAAAATAGCCAAAATATTTTAGTACTTCTGTATCCCTGTGGTGTTACAATATGTATTGATTAGTTGTTGCCATTTAACTGGCGCCTTATGCGTGGCTTGTTTGTAGGGTATTGCACCATCCTGAATTCCCAGTAGACACACACACACATTGTTGTTTTATTAATGACTTTGACCGTAAGGACAGAAAATCTATCATTTTTTCTCAAGAATATGCAGTTTTCCTGCATCCATTTATTGAGTTAACTAATGATTATTGTAGGATGACCTGAGCTGTAATCGTGCACCTGGACACCATTCAATCCCAGAAAACTGTGAAGTGTTTGATGAGAGTAGTGATACTTTGGCTTCAGTTGAATCTGCTACTCAACATGTCGGGTTACCCACATCATATTCATATGCTGCTGCTTTAGGGGTGTCATTGTCAAGGAGCTCCACTCCAGATCCTCAACACATTGCCAGAGCTCCTAATCCCAGCGTTACTCCTATTGGTGCTGGAAGGACATTCACATCATCAGAAAAAAGAAACGCCAATAGTCCAAACTCATTTAATGGTGTCTCCTCTCATGGAAATGAACAAGCAGATCTGGTTGCTTCTTTATCTAGCTTGAATCTTTCAAATGGTATGATAGGGGCAAAGAGAATCATTTGCCTTTACTTTCTATTTGAAGAAAAAATTCACCATTCACTTTTTTTTGTTGACTATGGATCTCTCCCTGCCTTTGTTCCTTTTTGGTCATTAGTCGGGCAATGGCCGGCTGAGTGAAACAAAAGGACCAAAAGTGGCAAATAATTCATAGTCCTGCAACAAATCTGGGAAAAATGAAATATAGACACCAATAACGGTCAGGTTTTGTTAGTTGTGGGACCAAAGGTGGTAAATTTTTGTAATGAAATGGATGCTAATTATGCATCTTTTTTTAATGCAGGTGCCCCAAGTAATAATGCCAAGAAGCATGCTTTCTTGAAGAAATCTGAATCTGGACAGTATGTCACGTCTTCCAATGGCCACCAACTAGGTATACAGTATGGTGACACTGGTCCTAACAACTTTGTATCATCTGGTGGTCCCTACCACAATGGCTCTCTGGACTCTTCCTTCAGTGTGGAAGGTGACATACTTTCTCAATACCCTAATCTGGACAGCCCGAATGCATCATTTTCAAACTACAGAATGAATGGCCATTCTACCACCAATCAACTATCTGCCCAACTTGGCAACTATAATCTTCCTCCTCTGTTTGAAAATGCTGCTGCTGCATCTGCTATGGCGGTTCCTTCTATGGGCTCTAGGATGTTCAGTGGATCAAATTTCAATTCTGCTTCTCTAGACCAGAACCAATTGGATCCAATGCATCTTCAGTACTTGCTACAGTTTGCAGCACTTAATGATCATTCCATGGATAGGAACCATATGGGCAATTCATATACAGATTTGCTTCAGAAAGCTTATGTTGGTAGTATGCTATCTCCTCAAAAATCACATTATGGTGTTCCGATGAGTGGCAAAAGTATGAGTTCCGGCCATCATAATGGACACTATGGCAATCCTGGATTTAGAATGGGGTTGTCTTATCCTGGAAGTGTGTTGACTAGTCCTGTTATCCCAAACTCTCCTGTGGGACCTGGTAGTCCTATCAGGCACGGTGATTATAATATGAGAGTTGGTGGGGGAATGAGAAAGTTTGGTGGCAGTATGATTGGACCTTGGAATTTGGATACCATGGAAAACTGCTTTGTGTCCTCTCTGCTTGAGGAATTCAAGTGTAATAAAACCAAATGCTTTGAGCTATCGGAGATTGCAGGTCATGTTGTTGAGTTCAGGTATGCATGTCTTACTATGTTTGGATGTGTATAAGTTAGATTTGAATTTAGTAGAGTTAATACTTGAATACAATTCAGTCCTTGACTCTCTTTTGGACTATATTTGATCATTGGCATTGCAATTTAGACTTCACATAGTCCACATGCATATTTTGTTTCTAGTTAAGAAGTCAAGTCTCCTACTCAAATGACTAAGTTGGGTCCAATTTCCTCTGTGGATGCTCAAATTGAGTCTACATTTAGTGAATGGGCGATATAAAGGTCCAAGCTCATTGTCAAAGACCCCATTGAGTAATAGTCTATGGTAGAGTGACGAAATTTGGTATTGACTCTTTATTAAAGTTTTATCTTCTCTCTAAACAGTGTGGATCAGTATGGGAGCCGATTCATTCAACAAAAGCTTGAGACTGCTACAAGTGAGGAGATTAACATGGTCTTCCAAGAAATTATTCCCCAAGCACTGACTCTAATGACAGATGTTTTTGGTAATTATGTAATCCAGAAGGTATGCAATGATCATCCATTGAGTACGTTTTTGTTTTTCTATCACACTCTAATTTAATTTACTCTTTGACTTTTCAGTTTTTTGAACATGGAATGCCGTCTCAAAAGAGAGAACTGGCCAGCAAGCTCTTTGGGAGGGTTTTAACACTGAGCCTCCAAATGTATGGATGTCGAGTGATACAGAAGGTGAGGAAATAACTTTTGTGAAAGTCTACCAATCACATGCTTTTCTTTTAATACTCCCTCTGTCCCAAAATAAAGGTAATTTTGGGAGTTTGTTCCAAACTTTGATCATTAATTTATAGAAAGTCAAACAACATAATTTTTTATATTCTTATGTTTGTGATGAAAGTACTTTCATAAGGAGTAATTCGTAAATTTTATGATTTTTGAAAACGTACTTTAAGAGAAATTAACCTTCAAAGTTTGGTATGAGTGCATGACTTTTTGTGGAGGCTCCACATTTTGGGACGGAGGGGGAAGTATGATACTGTTAGCCGATTGTGTAAGCTTTTCCAAAAAAGCCCGAGAAACACTTCCACTTGCTAGCCTGAAAGTTGAATCATTTTTTTGGAATTAAAGCTCTCCTTAAGCAAACACTTCTTGTCTTTATCGTGGTTTTTTATTATTTCTTGTCTTTACAGCATAGGTAGAAGCAGTGTGTCTGCATATTTTGTGGTTCATTTTTTTAATAGATGAGGCAATGAATGAAATTGAATTGGACTCACCGTGCAGGTAATAGAGGTGGTAGATGTGGATCAAAAGATTAAAATGGTGGAAGAGATTGATGGTCATGTCATGCGCTGTGTCCGTGATCAGAATGGGAACCATGTGATCCAGAAGTGTATTGAATGTGTGCCCGAGGACCATATTCAGTTCATTGTCAAAACTTTTTTTGGTCAAGTTGTCACTCTTTCGACCCATCCATACGGGTGTCGCGTAATACAGGTAGATGCTTCTTAATGTATCGAGTGTTCGGGTTGAATTGATTCTTGAACAGCATTTGAGGGAGATTGAATCTTTTACTGAATGAACTCTCTTTTTCTTGGCTGGCAGAGAGTTCTAGAACACTGCAACGATCCGAACACCCAAAGTAAAATGATGGAAGAGATATTAGGATCGGTAAGCATGCTGGCACAGGATCAGTATGGTAATTATGTTATTCAGGTATGGAGTAATATATCTGCAAGCACTTGGTATTTTTTTCATTGGCATATCCCTGCTAAGGGTATTTCGCAAATAACATCTGTCTTATTGGGTAGGGGTATGGCCCACATACACCCACCCCATTCCCCACTCGTGGAACCTTATTGGGTTGTCGTGTTTTATTCTAAGCCGCGAATTGGGCTGACGTTATTTTATAACCATAACAGCATGTGCTGGAACATGGAAAGCCACACGAGCGGTCGACTATAATACAGGAACTAGCTGGGAAGATTGTTCAGATGAGCCAGCAGAAGTTTGCCTCCAATGTCGTGGAGAAGTGTTTGGCTTTTGGTGATCCCAGTGAAAGACAACTACTTGTTAATGAGATGCTCGGTACAACAGATGAAAACGAGCCTCTTCAGGTTTGTCAATGACTTAGATTTCTGCTCTGTTGATCAATTATAATCATATCATGTTCAATTTTTGAAAATATTTATCTGTCGCAAGCTCGTCCTTTTGGTAACTTTCCTGTTTTATATTTCAAGTTCTCCTTTCAAATTTCTAAAAATTTTGTTTGGTTATTTTTTGTATAATATTAGTTATTATCAGGACATTATATGGTTTCAGATCACATGTGTCTCTCTCCACAGTGTACATAAGGACCACTGTGCAGTTAGACACCCGTGATTTGGGACCCACAAGTAGGATATCTAGCATATCTTTTGCAAAATTATTGCATGCTTAGTAGATCATCAAAAACATGTTCTTGTTTTTTTGGGGGAGCAGGCAATGATGAAGGATCAGTTTGCAAATTATGTTGTACAAAAAGTATTGGAAACCTGCAGTGATCAGCAGCGCGAATTGATCCTCGCACGAATCAAAGTCCACTTGAATGCATTGAAGAAATACACCTACGGGAAGCATATCGTTGCTCGTGTTGAGAAGCTTGTTGCTGCTGGGGGTAATCTTGGAATTCCTCTACTACTACTACTACTACTCTTTCTCTTCAACCTTCACAAATAAACTTAAGGGCGTGTTTGGTTGGAGTGGATGGAAAAATGCTCCTCCCCCCTTATTTGGTTCAAATACTCTAAAATTTTCTTTCCTATTACCTTTTTATGGAAAGCTTTACGTGAACCAAATCATTTCTCACTTCTAAATCGACCACAACCACACAATTTCACTTTATTAATATGTGTTCCAAATAGAAGTTAATTTTACGACAAAGGGAGTTATTTTTCCTACCCTCTCCTCAAACCAAACACGCTGTAAAAGTGAAAACTATTCTTCGTAAAAGGAAACATACATAAAGAGTAATTTGGTACTGACAAAAAGGAAAACATGCGACTTTAAATGGGGAACAGGTGGAGCATAGTAGAGTTACTTTTAAAACCGGACATCCTTTTTGCAACCAAGAATATCTTCTTAAAACATGACTTTCTTGTTATTTCGACAAAAAACAATTGATTTGTGTTTTCCATGGCTACACAGAAAGGAGGATTGCTGCTCAGGCTCAACCAAATCCAGCATAGAAGAAGATCTTTATATAGGAAGAACGATGTACAGCTAACCAAGGCTAGTTTGAGCTCTACCCTTCTCTTCCTTTTTAGTTTTCTTGCTGCGCGTCTCTAGTGCTGCGGCTAAGGTACTTGACTGCATTCCAATAATAAAGTCACGCCCTTGTGCTAGGAAAAAAGAAAGTGTACATTCGTGTAGTTTCAAAAGTTTTTATACATAGAGCAAACGAAGCGTAAGCACTTTGAGGTTTAATTTTTTTCTTTTAGTTTCTTTAAAAATGTGACGCTCGCTTGCGCGTGGCGGTGCAGAGGAGAAGTCTTATTTTCGACCGGGTGTAAAAAAATATCATAAAAGTTTGTTGAGGTAGTTTATGTAACATTGTGAGTACGTGACTGTACAAAAATGTTTCCTTGTCGAGTGTTTTTTAGACGTTTTTTTTGTTATGTACTTTTGTAGTTAACATTATTTTTTGCTTTGGCGAGTTGCTTTGGATCTATTTCCATGTTTTTGTTTATTTACATTTCTATGTTTTTCTCATTCCTATTTAGGAGAAAGATGATTATTTTTACATGTTCTATTTTTGAGGTAGTAAAGGTGGCCTATTTTAGAGCTCTTCCAAGTCCCCACAATATATTTTTAATATAGTTCTGCAAATCAGGGATTAGTAATGATAAAGTTGACCATTATGTAGGACCTAATAGAATAAACAAGTTGAAATGATCCAATTGCTTTACCATATTACCTCTCCACTAGGATGGTAAATGAACAGTCTCAAAGTATTTGTTTAATTTTTTTGAATATGAATTTTGAATGTGAAACAAATATTATACTCTGTAGTACTCCCTGTGTCCATATTTAAATTGTATGTTTTGATTTATGATGTTTGATAAAAGTTATTTTTAATTATTTGAAAATTTGGGTGGAATTAAAAAAAATTATTTTCAAAAATTATACTCTCTCCTGGTTCTACAATGAATAAAACTTTTTAATATTCAAAAATTATGGAAACTTTATTTGTTTGAGAATTGTGGTGGAATTTAAAAAATAAATTAATATTTAAAAAAGTGTATAAATTTTTTTCAAAACAAGTAATATGATTATAACCTTTTGTACTACGATGAATTATACTTTTTACTATTTAAAAATTAATCTATTTACATTGATTATTTGATTAGATAAAATATTCATATCAAATCTTATTTTGTAGATTTTTGATGAGCTTTTTAAATATGCAAGTTTTATTTCTATTTTTATATCAATTTTCAAATAAAATGACTTGAAAAAAATTTGAAATGTTTTGTTTTGCATGAAGTGTAGTTCATTTAGGCATGAAGTGTATTATTTTATCAAATAAGTAGTGAAAATAGAAAAAGAAATGTAAAAAAAAGTTTGATTTTGTGAATAGTAATCATGCAATTTAATTAGAGATATGAACTATGTGATTTGTATTTTTTTATACTCTCTCCATCCTAAATTGGATTACAATTTTTCATTTGTGAAGGAAAATCTTATATTTTTAAAAATAATTTATTTTAAGTTTGGCATAAGAATAATTAATAAAATTTATGTATTAAAAATCTATGTACTTTTACAAAAACAGAAAGTTATAAGAATATTTTATTTTAGAATATAATCAATGAAAATCTCCCCTAATAATACAAGGGGCTAAGAGGGTTAACCTCCACTTTTTTCCGTCTATTTTATAACGCTTATACTGTGCTCCGTCTCCTCTTTTTTTATTGCCGAACTTCTCTCCCTCTCTTTCTAATTTCCCACGAACGATGAAGGATTTATTACGGAGTAATTTGATTTTGTTGCATTGTCTAATTTTTCTTTGATGAATTTGAGTTGTTTCTTTTTGGTTTGTGTTTGCTTTATTGGATCTGTATTGAAAAAATGAAAGATATATTTGTATTGAGGAAGATCTATAGTGTTTGTTTAATCTTCGTTGTGTCTTAGATCTTTAAAGACCTATTTTGACTGTATTTGTTATTTGGGATTCTTTAAAGACCTAGTTTGACTCCAAAGTTAAAATCAACTTGTGGGGTGCAATTGAAGGGGATGAGGGGTGTTCGGGTCGGGGCGGGGTAGGAAGGTTTGGGAGGTAAGAACCATTAATTTTACGAACGGGACACTGGAGCGCCCTCGGGTCATCCCATGACATTGCTGGGCAATGTCATGGGAACCTTGGCCATTCAGAATAGTTCTTTTTAATGTATAGCATGGGTTTTAAAAATTGATTTTCTAACTTAATTTTTTTTGTAGACATTTGTTTTTATTTAATTTAAATGGAGTTGTCATAGAGGTTATAGTATGTTTCCATCAACACTAAACTGTGTCTTTATTTTATGCATTGAAGGGACTTGAGTAAAAGCAAAAATGTTCACATCCATTTATTTACCACAAAACTGCAACAAAGCTCGACATAATCTGTCTCAAGTGGAATTCAATATTTAGACTTGCACAGAGCATCAATGTTGTCTTTCGTAGTAGATACATTGACACTAATGACAGGTGATTGGAGTTCATTTTGAAGAAAATCGAATTAAATTTTCACATGAACACTATGTTTGGTTCAAGGAATTTGAAAATGAAAAGAAAAGAAAATGAATTGGAAAACAGTTTTTCATGTTTGGTTGGAGAGGACAAGTGGAAGAAAAAGAAAATGAGAAGACAAATATACTAACGGGAGGAAAAACCAAAATCCTCCCATTTTGGTGAGGAAAATGAGAGAAAATCATTTTTTTTTCTTTTCATTCCAAAATCCTTGAACCAAACATAGTGGAAGTCATTTTCTATTTTTGGAGTAGAAACATGCATTTTGATGCAATGCCTTTTCTTTTTACTTTTTTTTTCACTTTTTCAAATGGTTAAATAAAATATTAGGCACTCATCCACTTTCTTTTGCTCGTGAATTCTCTTGCATTACTCAGTCAGTTGTATCGTTAACTTCTAAATATTACTTCTTAACGTAATTAACATATTTAAATGCACAACTTCTGAAGCAATGCTTAATGGCGTTTTGAGAAAATCCTTCTTAATGGGCACCATTCGCACATAGTGCGTTCCTGGCTAGTATTTAAATATACAAAAGTTATCGAGAGATAAGTCTAAAAATTGTAATCTAATTTAGGATTAAAAATATTTCTTTGAGTGGTTGATGAATCCTAAACGAAGAGTAGTCGTAATTGCTGTGTCTCAAATAAGAATGATTTAACGTTAGAAATATGGATAATGTACTTTTAATTCATTATATTTATAATACACAATTACGTTTACGGTGGTGCACTATTGTAGTGAGTGTAAAGTTGGACTTATTTATTGAAATGTCACCACATTCTTTTAGATATTTCTTGATTGATTTTACTTTTTAATAATCTTAGATTTTAAATCTAATTTACCATGTGCTCATATGCATTCTCATTTCTTTAAATAACAACCTTTCTCTGATCATATATAAATAAATATACACACGAATCAATAATGGAATACAACACTTTTTTAGTGTAATTTTTAGATATTTTTAAATAAAATAAATAGAAAATAACATTAATTAAGTATGATAGCACTCGTGTAAAGAAATTTTACCTAAATTTATATGACGAAAAAAAGCTGTTATACAAATTACGTAGTTCAGTTAACCTTTTCTTGTTTGTGAGTTGCTTTCAATTACGTAGTTGTTGAGATGATTTAGTTAACATTTTGAATTACGAATCAATTACATTCTTGTTTGCGAGTTGCTTTCAATTACGTAGTTGTTGAGATGGTTTAGTTAACATTTTGAATAAGAATCAATTACATTCTTGTTCGCGAGTTGCTTTCAATTACGTAGTTCAGTTACTCTTTTCTTGTTTGACTCGAAAAAGTAAAAATTAAATGAATACATTGAGATGGAGAAAATGTTACCGATACTAAAGTCAATTAATCATATTATCCTATAAATTTGGATAAGCAAGTTGCACTATGGTAGCTGAATTTGAGTTAATAATCAAGAATTCGATTAATAATAACAAATTTTTCATTTTCGATTTTGATTATCTACTAAGAAAAAATCTTATATCCGTGTTTACTTTGAATGATGTAGATAAATATAATCTCTTGCTCCTTATCAATGTTGAACAATTACAATGCGGCCATAAGTTTGATAAATTGACTTTGGAGCCTCTTCTTTTCGCCTCACATTTTTCTTTATACTCAAATTTATGATGGTTGAGTAAAATTATATATATATATATATATATATATATATATATATATATATATATATATATATATATATATATATATATATATATATATATATATATATAATTTTACTCAACCATCATAAATTTGAGTATAAAGAAAAATGTGAGGCGAAAAGAAGAGGCTCCAAAGTCNATTCGGAGAGGTGAGCCTAATGCTAATCAACACCCATACCTAGAAACAACCTTCTGACTCGCTGCTCATCAATCAAGTCATTAATGAGTGTCAATCCCGCCATCAATCAAGTCATCTACGGTGGGGTGGGATCTTCGATGTGCAATTAAGTCACAGAGACGGCGTGGTGGGATGGCAGAAACGCGTCTACCAACGCACTGTGTTGTTCCCATCAACCTGACCCTCTAAGTCAAACCGAGCTCGATCGAGGGGTTATTTTCTAAATTATCTATCGTAATGACCATGCAGAGATATGACCGGTCACCTTATGAGGAAGGTTTGACCGATCATCTTTTCCCGAGTGTTTTCGCGCCCTCCCAAACACAATCTATTTTTGACCGGTCATAATCTAACATGTCCCTTTTGGATATTCAGGTCGGGTATAAGTTATTACAATTCAATAAGGAGTATATTTATTTCTAATTTGTAGTCAAAGTTTAAAAAAATATCTTGAAAATCAAACTGGGAAGATTCAAAAAGGACAAAAAGACAAAGAGTAGAATAAAGTACATAGAATTTTTTGATAGAATTCAGGTGACATTAAGTTTCAGTGTCATTCGATGACACCGACTCTAATTGGAGTACCTACAATGTTTCGTTACAATATAAATAATTCCTACTCATGGAAAGGAGGTGACAAAGGTGGGACTTTTGTGAAGGTTTAGATCGAGAATAGAATAGTGTAGATGTTCCAATCCAAAAGTAGTGAACCCTATTATTATACAGCGACAGTGGCGAGGCAAGTTTCTGCCACGCCCTGCCACATAATCAAATACTCACCCTTGTCTCGTGTGGCTAGCTAGGCTATTTTGCCATGCTTGGCATGACAATCGTGTGGCATCTTCGCTTCTATTTTTTTCTTTTTTTAAAATATTTTTTTGGGGTAAATTCTTAAAATGATCCTTTCTAATAATTAAGGTGTTTTCTGAAATTGGTCCTCAATAAATTATAATTATCAACAGAGTCATGTATAATTGAGAAGTATTTCTTAAATAGTTCTATGTCAAAAATGTTTATTAAATGACAGTTACAATGGGGGTATTTTTGTATTTTTATCTTCAAAATTATAAATAAGCTCTCAAAATGGTCCTTTCTAATTAATTGGGTGGTCGCTAGAGGAACAATCCCACCCTGAATAAGCTCATGAACTCCATTTCGAGAAAATAATTACTTGAAAATTATCAGTTTCAAAAAGTATTTAATTATAGAAGAGTAATTCGAAAATATACTTTAAATCTAGATGATAAAAACTACCAAAATATATTCTTTTTGACTATCATTTAATAAACATATTTGGAAGAGAACTATTTAGGAAATGCATCTCAATTATAAATGATCATACTAGTAATTGTTGTTTATTGATGACTAGTTTAGGAAAATACCTTTATAGAAAGAATAATTTTGGAAATTTACTCTTTCTTTGGTAGAAGAAAGAAGATTTTTTAAAAAGAAATACATTTATTTTTTAAAAAAATGATAAGTAAAAGATTTTTAATACTACTTCCTCCGCCCCAAAATATATCTCACATTTGCTTTTTTCAGTAGTCACGAAAACTTTGGTTTATTTCTACGTTTTTATTGGTTAATTGATAAAATAAAATATTTTTGACACTTCTTATTTCGAAGAATTTTTCATGTAGTTTTTGATATGTAAATTTATTTTTTATTTTTATACCAATATGTAAATAAAATGAATAGAAAAAACTTAATATTTTACTTCAGTAATAGAAGTGTGACAAATATTTAGGGACGGAAGAAGTAATTAAAATACATTGAAAAAGTGTAAACACTGAAAAAAGTAATGATTTGTCGTTGTGAAACGTGTCAATCTACTCAATTGTCACATCCTGACTGAATTACTTTTTATTGATTAAAATATTTAAGATCATCATTTTGAACTCTATTTTTTAGTTTTTAAGGAGTACTTGCTATGTTCCTAGTACAAAGGCAGTGTCAGTGTCACTCGAAGAGGGACCCAAAAACTTTAGGAATTCCAATACAACCTGTAATAACACTGCGCACCAGTGAGAACCCAACGAGGAAGATGCTATATGGATTTGGCTTCTGCTCTATCTCTGAACCCGACCCAGATCTACCATTCTGCTCCTCCACTTCACCCCCGCCCCAGGTTTCCACCTTCGCCCGTTTCCCGATTCGGGTATGGACCCGTTTCCAATCCCCCGTCACCAAAACCGATGGTGCCCTTATCTTCTACCCGAACTGTCCGCCACAGGAAGAGGTTCGCCCCTGTAAACGCCTTCCGCGGCGGAGAGTCCCCTTTTGAGGTATTGGGGATCTCCCCTGCCGCAACTCCGTTCGAGATCAAGAGAGCTTATCGGAAGCTCGCTCTTAAATACCATCCCGATGTTAATAAAGCGGTAAATCTTTATGAATGTTTGGATTTGTAATTTGCCTGATGAACTTCTCTCGTTTTTTTTTCTTTTCTTTTTTTAAAAACCAAATTGTGTGTTAATTAGCTGGGATTGTCTAGACCTTGTCCTGCTAATAAGTAAAGATTTAGCTGGATGGGATTTTAATTCTGAGTTTACACCTTCCACAGACCCTAGGATTTTACTGGGGTTTAATCATAGTTTACATTTAGTAATTTGTGCTCTGGGCAGAATTCATTGATTCAAGAGTGCTTTAAAATGTACTCCCTCCATCCCCAAAAGAGAGTTATGGTTTGACTTTATGGGGTTCAAGAAAGTTGTTGAAAAGTGAAAAGCTTGTGGATATAATTATGTTTAGAAGAAAAAGAAATGTTGTAAGCCACTTAATCATTTCCTTTTGTGGAAATGACTTTAGTTGAAGTGTGATGCAGAACTGCCCTTTTTGTTAGGACAGCCAAATTCCTCTTTGACTCCATGTTATGTTAGTACGATATTGTCGGCGTTAAGGTAATCATGCAAGTTTATGTTTTTGGGTAACCTGTTGTCCTTCCGGCATGGGGATTCGGTTTGATGCCCCCAACACTCATGTGAATTGATTCTGTTACAGAATAGCTAAAAAAAATGGTAATCACCATCAGTTTTCAGAACTACTTCATAAAGTAGTGAGTTTCATGACCTTGGAATCGCTCCTAAATGTTCTGTCAAACACCCTTAAGTTGTTTTTTTTCTTTTCTCATTCTAATTCTGCAATGGAACAGAGAAGTCATTTTTAATGAATATGCTAAGTCATTTTGGACCTTTGTGTTCAACTAATTCTTAAAGCCTTGTGATCCAGCCCAATGCTAAGGAAAAATTTATGAGGATTAAGCATGCTTACACTACTCTGCTGAACTCCAAGTCAAGAAAGAAATATGATTCTGGGAGTGGCACATCCAATGATTCTTATTATGCAACTCGGGAAAGCCAAAGTGGAACAATGACAGAGGAAGAATTCTACGGATTTGGTGAGACATCCTTTGTTTTATTCCCCTCTTTCCAAACAACAATTTAACCCTTTTTACCTTAGTCTGTAGCTTGTGCATGTGTGTTTCCTGTGCTTTGGATCTAGTTGCTTGTGTTAATATATGTACTTCTTGTCTTTCTTCTCTTACTCTGGTCGTGTTAAAATGTTTACTTTGTCTGTCCTTTTATTTTTGAGCGGGGGTCTATTGGAAACAACATCTCCACTTCAGAGTAGGGGTAAGGTCTGCGTACACATACCCTCCCCAGACCCTACTTTTTTACGGGATTTTACTGAGTGTGTTGTAGCTACTCGTGTGTTTTTTGTGGTGACAAATATGCTAGTGTGTATTTTGCTGTTGCAACGATGATTTGTATTTTTTAGAATCTGTATACACAATGTTTGGCATTATATCAATATATACATTACTCTGTTGGGAATAGGTCTATTGAAACAAAAGTTCTCTAAAAACTACTGCAATTCTTATATTCAACCGCCTTCATCCTGCAGGTAACTTTTTCAGAGATGTACAAATTACCTTAGGTAGATTCTGCAGATTACAAGGATTCCTTTTTTTCACTAATGTTTTAGGACACTTCTGAGTCGCTATCTTGCCCGTTAAAGTTACATTGTGAGCTGAGGCATACGTACTTATGTTGTTGCAGAGGACTTCTTTAAGGATCTTCAAGAAGAACTCCGAAATTGGGAAGCAAATTTAGCTTCACAAGGGAAACCAAAAAGTTTGTGGGAGGAATTAGAGGTGAGCGAATGAAATGTTTGCACATTATACGTCTTAAAACAAGATAATATCTCAAAATATGACATTTAGGTTCCGTTTGGATGGAGGGTTATTTTAGGGGAAGGCTTTTAAGGATTTATTAACAGATCTTACTTAAAAATTGGAAAAATTTCGATCAATAGTTCGAAGTTTAGGTTGTTTTACCCTAACAATCCCAACTTGAAAATAAAATGCAAGTGATTCTTACTTGAATGTGTTGTTATGAGAGTTTTCCAGTCAAAAGTGTCAGTGTCTCACTCAAATGGTTGGCTTTCCAATTCAAACATCTGATATGGTCGTCTTCCACTGCACTTTTCAATTACTTCTTAAAAATACGGAGTACGAAATAATGAAAAATGAAATCGTCATCGTTGTTATTATATATTATTTCCAAACTTTGGAGTTTTTGCAGAAATTTTTACCTGTAAAAGTTTAACATGACACAAGTAGTTTACGATTGTATGGGTTGGCAATAACCTCTTGTTCAAAATTATCATATCTGTCGATCTACAAAATGTGTGCTACTGCTTATCAGGAAATTGGTGAAGAATTCATCGAGTTCTTAGAGAAGCAACTGGATGTAACTGATGGCGAGCCTGAAGAAGAAGAAGAAGAAGAGCTCAAGGAAAAAGCTCAAAGTAATGGACCTTCTGATGGAGATGGAATGGGAAATGGCTCTGAAAATAAAGGAACAAATGAAAGTAGTAACATTGAAGAAAATATTGATGAGATTGAAGCAACTTTAGCTCAGCTGAAAAAGCAATTGGGACTGTGACCAATTTGGTGTATAATACTTTGTATCATTATTTCAAGCTCTAGTTCCCATTGAAATTTTCCTAGGCTTTTAAGTTTTCCTTCCATTGTACAACCTCTCCCTCATAAGAATTTTGTGTTCTCTTTTACTGAATATAAGAGAAATGTTAAAAAGTAGGGGAAAATGTGGTTAAAATTTGTCAAGCATAGACATTTTCAGTAACATATTTTGTTTCGTATAAGGAAAATGAAGTTTTTTTAAACAAAAAATACTCAAAAATGCATTTTAATAGAATTTTGTGTTGCCTTTTACTGAAGTCAAGAAAAATATTTAGAAGTGAATCCATGATTGGGACCAAAAGCAACTGGAAATAAATTACTAGTCGATTAAAATTATTTTCTTGGTCGCAAAAGCACAATTAATAAGTAAGAAAAATAAATTTATTTTTTTAATTCCATACCAATTTTTAAATAAATTGAATTGAAAATAATTTCATTCAAACCTCGTAAACAACAAATGATTTATACTTGGATAAAGAGAGTACTTCGTATAAGTGAAATTGTTAGATAAAAATATAACTTAAAAATGGTTTACATAATTACATGTATGCAAAAGTGGAGTTTGTGCATTAAAAAAAGCACTGCTATCTGAAAGACACATCTCATATCCCATATTCCCTTTAAAAAGGTAAGGTTCAATTTCTCACTTCAAGAACCTGGATTCAATCTCTTCCAAGCTCAACCCTTTCGTCTCCGGGACAGAAGTCGCCACAAACACCAGCGATATCAAAGCGATCAGCCCAAACCCAAGGAAAAGGTTTTCGGCGCCCAATGCTTCCTAAACCAACCCCCATAAAATTTCATCACCATTATCAAACTATGGAGAGAGAAATGTTGGTTTAATATGCAGACTAAGAACTTGTTAACTCATTCTTATTACTTATTACTTTTTCTTATTGAAATCAGATCAAGATCAGGCCAGAACTTATTCCAAACAGATCAGAACCAATCTGGTGAAGAGAACAAGCCCTGAGGCAAAACTTCTATGTACCTCTAGAGGGGAGAAAGCGAAGGTTACTAAGGCATTCGAGGCAAAGTTGGCAAGGACTGCAAGACTGATCCCCTTTCCTCTGGTGCGCAGTGGGAATATTTCTGATACCATGAGCCAACTGATTGGCCCGAACGATACCTGGTAGCACCCTACATACAGAAGCAGAGCAGCCACCGCAACCAAAGGAAACCCGCCAAGAAACTTGTAATATGCCGAAAGAAGAAAAAGTGAAAGCGCCTGCTCTCATAACCAACAATTTTAGAAAGGAAAAAAGAAATATTTTGTCATCATTTGAATTAGAAGATTATATATATAGTCTATTTGAACCATACAATGCCACTGACTCCAGCAATTAGGAGAGGCCTTCTCCCAAGGTCATCAACCTTTAGGACAGCTACCCCTGTCATTAAAGACTGCAGCATCACAAAGTTAGCTGAACCAAAATATCAGTTTATACATCACAACAGTCTTTACACATATGTACCTTGAAAATGCCAATAATGACGGACACTCGCGTAGCGTCAGAAGCAGCCGAAAACCCAGCAGTCTATAGATATAGATAAGGTAAAAGTGGGAAAATAAAAGACATTAATGCTATGCAAAACTGTACAGAAACTATTACATTGATCTGTCTAAAGAGTACCTGAAGAATTGGACCAGCATAGTATAGAACACTTGGCTGCCCAGTTATCTAAGAAAAGCACTTGGTAACATTAGATATGAACTTCAACAGATTGTTTAGTAATGGACATAGTATGTTTCAGTGATTCAGTACAGGATATTGACTTGGGATTCAGTCTAAAAGATCAATCTACTAAGGCCCTGTTCTTTTGGACTGGAATTTTAGTGTTGGATGTTGGAAGAAACTGGAAAGAGTTAGAAAAAAATGGAATGAGTTGGAAAAAACTAAAAGGAGTTGGAAAATGTGGAAGAACTAAAGTGTTAAAAAGTCAACTCAATCAAATGATCACCCAAATAAGTATGTAAGAAAACTCTAATTTTGGACAAAAAAGAATTCATCTTTGTCCGTGGGTGGTATGTTATAAATTTGGATATCTAATGTTATTGTATATTCATCATATATAAATACCTTTTTTAAGTGATTGTTGGAAGAAACTACAAGGAGTTGGAAAAAACTAGAAGGAGTTGAAAAAAGTTGGAAGTTAATTTTTCCAACCCAAAAGAACAGGGCCTAAGAGAAGTAATCCAAGAGCTTATATATTGTTCTGGTTTGACACAAGAACGGTACCTGCTGAAAAAGAACCAATCCACCACCAATTATAAGTGCTTTCAAGCTCGAACCTTGAAACAGTTCCAAGAAACTTGTTTCAGTTTCCTCATCAGCATATGCGGTCTTCAGTGAGACGAGAGCGTCTTCTATTTGTTTCTCAGACACCTTATCTCCAGTGCGTTGGCGGCCTCTTAGCTTGCTCAAAGCCCCAATAGCCTTTTCTCTGAATTCCTCTAAATGACCTTTACCTTGAACTGCCCTCAGAAGTAACCATCTTGGAGAAGGCGGTAAACTCATCATGCCTATCCCCATAAATAAAGCTATTGGAGCACTAAACCCAAACATGACACGCCACCCTCCAACGGCATTAATCTCGTGGTTACCCACAAAATAACCCAGCTGCAGAAAAAGGTGGAGATCAGCAAAAACACAAACTGACATCAATCTTTTAAGCGTATATTTGGCATGAGTAACTTTAAAAAAATTACTTATAGAACTTTTTGGTAGCTACGGCTCTCTTTGTCCCATAATTTTGTTCTTTTTTAGGAAAAGATCTGTGACTTGTATTTTTTCTCTCAGTGTACACAAATCAAACCACAATTTCCATTTTATAAAGAAGCAAGCCAAGTCAAACAAAAAATATAATATTGGGAAAGAGGGAGTAGCTTTTAGCAGCTGGAAAGTTCATAGGTGAAAAATTATAGAAAAATTAGAAGCTCCTAACTCCAACATGCTAGAGAAACAGTAAATATGTTTACCAAAATGCCGAGAACTATTGCTAGCTCCTTTAAAGAAATCAAGGTTCCTCGTATTTGAGTTGGACATGTTTCGGCAATATATAGAGGTGCACCATGCATAGCCTGCCAAATGATTTTTTTCATGAAATTGATAATCAGCTAACACAAAGAAATGAGAAAAAACATATGGAAGTAAGCTAACGGCTTGTTTGGTATGCAAAAACGAACAAAATAAGAATGGAGTGGAGAAGAATACAAGAGGAATAAATATGGATTCTAAAATTCGTAGTTCGGCTGGTTGGGATTGGAATAATAAAGGAAGAAAGGAATAGAGATTGTATTGCCAAAATGTTGTTGTATAGATAGCAGGAGAGTAATTACGCCCACCTGTCCAATGCTTCATGAACAAAAATTGGGGATTGTTTCTTCCTAATTTTTAAGGAATGAAAATTCACACCAAAAAATGGGGAAAAATTCCTTGGAACTAAACAAGCCATAAATGTGGTCTGGGGAGAATAGAGAGTTCGACGAAAATATACCAAACCAATACCAAGCCCATAAATTAGCCTCCCTATTAATAGAATAGTCAGGCCTGAAGCATATGAAGTTAATGAACCACCAAGTGCATAGAGAATGGCTGCTATTATCAATTCCCTTCTTCTGCCTACACACACAATGGATAGTGAAAACAGGGGAAAACTTATTAGAGAAAAATATCAAACTTGGAAAAGCATGACTATGCAATCAGGGGTAGAATTGTACCAAGGAAATCTGCTAGTGGGTAAACAGCGATAGAGCCAAGCAGTGCTCCGTAAAGGGATCCGCTAACCTAAAACCAGAGCAAAGCAAAATAAAAACAAATATTTAGACTCCAATTTGTGGTAGGAAGTTTGGCATAACCTTTTTGAAGAGGAACAATATGAATTGATACATACCACAAGACCAAGCTGAACTGCAGAAAAATTGAACCAAGTTGTGCCACTAAGCTCTGCTGACTAAAAATAGACATGGAAAAAAATAAAAAAAATATTGAAATGTTATTTTGAATCCCAAGCTTACGCGAGCATTACCTGCAAGGAGATGGTAGCACCAGAAGTTGCACCTATATCATAGCCAAACAACAAACCACCCAAAGCTGGAAATAGAAACCTGATATTCAAGAGAATATCACAGACAATGCCCACTATCTAGCAACAATTAATCGAATGATACGATTGATATTGAATACTTAGACCTAATCATTCAGAGACACAAAGATTAATCTCTTACGAGGTCTTCGGAAAGCTTTTAAGAGTAATTGAACTGAACTGAATTCTATCAAGAATTGAATATAATTACAGAAAAAAATCAACAAAAAGTCAGCAGACTTACGGCAGAATAACTGAAGACCAGCTGAATTCCTCTCTGTATAAAGAACCAGAACCCAAAGAATCGGCTTCTTCTCCTCCGGCTTGAACCTAGGCAAAGATCAAATTTTTATAACTAAAGTATCACAACAAACTTTCCCATTGAAACAGTGATTCGCAATTAGGAAAAAGAAAGCATTTGGGGTTATGAATCTGGGGCATTATGATTAACCTCAAGCTTTGACCTTCTGCTGGACGAGAAGGCGACTCTTCCAGAAAAGGGTGCTTGACTGAGAAAGATGGTTCTTGGAGGTGGGTTTGTTGATCTCTTGGCAGAACCACTGCAGAGGAAGCTGGTGACAGACGATTGGGATTTCTTGGGCGGACGGATTCGTGATGGGTTTGAGGTTGGAGGAGGGATCTTCGACCCCAGTTGCAGTGAAGCTCTTAAAGACATCACTACATCAGTGTGAGTGTGAGGATGGAACGAGTCAGAAAACTGAAGAAAATGCGAGTCTTTCCCTCGCTATAAAATTTTGGTTTCTTGTTGCAAATCTGCTCCTTCGGGAAGGAATAGCAGAATGGGCAATAATTTTCAATTTTTTCTAGAGGGAAAGGGGCAATCAACTGATTCAAGCATCCACAAACCAGATAATTATCACACTTATTCCCTGTACGACTTCTCTTCTTTTTTTTTGGTTAAAATTGGTAAAATTTGATACCAAATTAAATAAAAATAATATTATATATTGATATATGATAGTTTTATTATATAAAATAGTTTCAAAATACTATTTTATCTAATTAATATACAATATACTCCGTATATTTTATTTAATTATATAAGTCAAAGGTTGAAAACAGTTGACTGATAAAAGTAAACAATGGACAAATACTCCGGGACGGAGGTAGTACGCCATAAAACTTACCCTTGCATGTGTTCTATTTTTTCTAATTAGATAAAATTTGAGCATCTTTAATGCAAAGTACTTAATGAGTTGTTTAAGTTAAAAAATGATGTGAAACTTATGTGGAGCTTACGTGTCAAAGAAATTGCTTAGAGAAGCAACAATTTTTTTAGCTATGAACTCTCGGACTACTCTCCTAAGTAATCCCACTAAAAATGTTCTTAGTAGTATTGAGATTTGAGATTGATTGAAAAATGGATTACTCTTTAAACCAAAGTTACTCCATATACATGTTGAGTAATTACAAATAAGTGTTCTTTTTGCACACTATAAAAAAATAAATATTCACTAATTAAAATTAATTACTCATTAATCTATAGTGGACATACAATACTTTAGCATATACTGTAGTAATATGAGATTTTCGGTGAAATTAACATTAAACTAAATCACAAGAGCATATCCTACGCAATGTTGACTTTGATTTCTCCATTGCACAAACTAGTGACTTATGCATTTCATTGCTTCATTTCAGTGTGAATGATGAAAATTTTCCTCCTTTTGTGATATTCCATATGTAATTTTGGGCAAAATATCACTAGTGTCCCCCACGTGATTTGGAAAATGGGCGTCAATACACCTTTTATTTTCAAAACTTATTTCTAAAGGGTTCGTAGTTTCAAAACTTGTCATCGATACCCCATCTGATCATTTTCCGGCCACTTTTCCAATGAAGAAGGGAGGTTTGGTGCCTATATTTTCCAAACCATAGGAACACAAATGCTCATTTCTTATTTTTCATTTATTTTTATTTCCCCCCTTTTTCCCTTTAGTTGTTTATTTTAAACTTGTTTTCATAATGTTCTTAAAATTTAAACTTATTTTTGTTTGAAGAAAAATAATTAACATATACTGCATTTGTATGTTTCAAATTATCAATTTTTTTTGCTTTCTGAAATAAAAAAAGTACTCCCTCCGTCCTAAAACTTTCTTCCCAGAGCACTATTTCAACTTCACGGGAATTTATATTTATTTGTGTTTTTTCATGGCCTATATGATAAAATAAAATATTCTTGTCACCACTTGTTTTGTTGAACTTTTGATGTAGTTTTTAAATATGTATGTTTTATTTTTTATTTCTATACCAATATTTAAATAAAATAGATTAAAAAAACTTGGAATTTTTCTTCGTTTTGCGCAACGGGAAGAAAATTTTAGGGCGGAGGGAGTAATTTTTTTTGAAAACTTCAAAACATGAGGAATAAAATAAAAATAAAAATAAATATCTTGTTTGGACATCCTAATTCTATAGACTTTTTAAAATGTTTTGAATTTTTTTGTATAAGACTCTTTTTGGCATGATTAAATTTTATTCATTTTGTTTTTCCATATTTTTATTTATAATTTTTTATTATAGATTTTATTTTTGGACTTACCAAAAAAATTATTCTAGAAAACAAAAAGTAAAAATTTTTAATTTGAGATAGATGGAGTATATGTTAATTTTCTTTAATTTCATTCCAAACACAGAATTTTGAATTTCTTAAAATATGATAAACAACTGAAAAGAAGTTTAAAGAACTTTTCCTAGAAAAAGAAAAGAAAGAGTTAAAAAAAAGGAAGAAAACCAAACAATAAACGAAATATAGAAGAGTAATTTACCTAAATAAGACTAAAACACAATGACTTTCTCAATATAAGACCATATGTTTTTATTTTCTTAATGTAGGACCATTAGTCATTATCTATTAGTCATTATTCAACTAAATGTCCAAGAGTCGATTCTGGTTGACTCCAAAAAGTTAAAACTAGAGAAGTAATGAAGATGAGTTTTAACACCCCCTCCAAAACATGTAAATTGGAAAGACAAGTGAGAAAGAGAGACAGAGTGATGAAGGGCACACATGACAGTGGTTCAGTGAAGAGAAGAGAGGAAGGGAGCATTTGGAGAACTTTTTTGGTCACTAGAGTTTGTTCCAAACTTGGTAAAAGAAAAAAAAACATCAACCTTAGCCCTTAAGGGTTTGGAACAGACATGCATGTTTCCATTGAGGAAGAAGCATTCAATTCAGAACTCTCAAACTCAAGAAGCCCCATCATAGGGATCAGCCACATGAGCATCTCTGGGTCCACCTTTTCGTCCCACGGCCATCACTGGTGTTAGTGGCAACACGCCGGCTCTGAATAGAAGACGCTGAACTGGGTCTGTTGCCTGTGCCCCAACTGATAGCCAATACCTGGAAGTAGTAAAAATTGTAATTGCTAGATAGAGTTTTTGATAATAAAATTTAGATAGCCAATGCTTAATTGATCTAGGTAGGTGTAGACCACCCAAATGAAATTCTTGAATAAATATGACTTGGTAACTCATACGATAAGTCATAACAAGTAATGTAATTGCAAGATAGAATTTTAAGAATCATTTAAACAATAACATGTTTAAAGTGAACTGCTTTATGAGTAAATAAGAAAATCGGTTGCCACTTCACAAAGCTTCAGTCGACTAAATTTCTGGCATTTTAGTTACGTTATATGGAGTACTGCTTTCTGCCTGTTTGGCAACACTTTCAGCATTTAGTATTAGTGTTTTGAAAGACTATCTAACAATATCGTTTAGCTCTAGTGTTTTCAAAGTTAATCTACATCATTAAAAATTAAAAAGTTATCCAAAACGCTAACTGAAAATGCTATTCCCAAACAAAGCCTTCACCTCACTATGTTTTTCCATCTTCCCAATTCCGTCTGTCCCAAAATATTTCCCAATTTCGTTTCAAAGAAAGAAATTTATGGTTCATACTCACTCTTAATTCTAAATAAGTATCAACCACACATTTTAATTTCTTAGTGTCCATGCAAATGGAAATTGGAAAACCCCAAACGGGTGGAGGTTTTCTAGTTTTTTAGTAGCTATGCTATTGGAAGTTGGAAAACCCCCAACAAGTGGGCCGTGGGAGGAAGTAATTTGTAAAAAATCAAAGTATCATAAACCTTCTAATGAAAAGTAAATCTTATTAAACCAAACTACACAAAAAACAGTATAATCCCGACTTCAATGAGGCTTGAGACATCTTACCCCTCTAAAAAGAGTTGTTTCTCAGAGAAACTCTTGATGCATTGATGTATTTACTACCTAAAACTTCATAGAAAGCAAGAAGCATAGAAAGTTCAATGTGTGATGTGTCAATTTAATTTAGTCCATTTACCCGGAGCTAAAACATTGTCTATAACCACTCTTGGAGACCTATTGGGAATGGACAAGAAATAAAAACAAAACAAAAACCACCACCACAACCACCAATATTTTTTCATGTTAAATGGTTCCTTTCTTACATAGAAAAGCAGAAGCATCGAGGTGAGCTTCAAAGTGTAGGTTGCAAATCTCAATAGCATTTTAAAATTACTACAAATAAAACTCATTGATTATTATCTTAATGCCTTCAAAACCAATGATCTTCTACAACGTTACATCTTTTTTCATCAAGATAAAAGTGCCAATTAGCTTCTCACAAGTAAATAGAAGTACAGAACTCCACTTACCTCACACGTTCACACTTAATACTCATTTGTTTCTCACCATCTTTACCTGAACAAACGTGTAGAAATATCAGTAACTTTAATTTCATCACAATACCAGTCGCGCAAGAACAACAAATAAAAATCAGATCAACAATACAAAGTACAACCAACTAACCAACATGGATATGACTCACTTGTAATGCCATTTCAACTTATAACCAACAAATAAGAATGCCCGAAATAAGGTCCTTCCCAAAAATACAAAAAATACATGAATTTTATCTACATTCCATTACTTTCTCCTTTCAAAAAAACTACATGAAATTATAAATTCTAAAAGCAGACATAACTCTCCTGAACTTCAAAAACAAACTTTGAACATGGAAATTTTTTTTCAAATCCATGGCCGTGTTCAAGCAAGTAAAGTAAACATGTTTTGAATCAGGAATCAAACTTCATATAGAAGATCAATCACATATATCAGATTGACGAAAGAGGAAGTTGAAATTGAGAGTGGAAGAATTGCTTAGGGTTCACCAGCGATAGGGTTGTAGAAGCCAACAACTTCCAGGTGTTTGCCGTCCCTCGGAGATCTGCTATCAGTGACCGTCACTCTGTAGAAGGGCTTGTGCTTGCACCCGAACCTCGCCAACCTCAGCTTCACCGCCATTTTTTGTTTGTTTGTAGAGTTCTCAATTTCAGGATTGGGGTGCGGACATGAAAATGGGTGGCTGTTTGAGTTTCGCAATTCTTATCTAGTTATCTTCCGCGGTATTGGAGAAGCAAAAAATAAAATAAAAAAAAATCCATGAATCGAAAGATAAGTAAAAAAGTATGAAAATATTAGAATAAAAGTCTTAAGTTTTTTAAAACTAAAATAGGTTACAATTATAATGTGGTGTAACAGTACGCGCTGATAGTGTAAAAGAAAAGTAATTACAATGTAACATTTTTGTGTGATCAGTTAATCGTTGGTGATCCGCGGCCGCATGCCGGTAGCGACAGATGGTAGTGTGGCGTGATAGTGTGACAATTACAATATGATAATGTGGTGAGTATGGAAGCGTGACAATGACAATATGAATTTCTATTTGGTCTTAAAAGACTTATGACTTCTGTTTTAATATTTTCCTTATTTTTTACTCATATCTAGGAAGTTCTTCCAAGTTTAATTTGTTCCCTTCAAAAAAGAATTTCATAGTTTACTATAAGAAAATTATGAGAATTTTTGTTTATTTCTTCATTTTTATCAATTATTTGAGAAATTAAATATTATTGTCATATCTTATTTTGAAGAACATTTGATGTAGTGTTTAGACATGTAAATTATATTTTTTTATTTTTATACAAATCTTTAAATAAAATGAATTGAAAAAATATTTTTTTATTGTTAATATTTTTTACTTCTTGTTTTTTTAATTTTTTTTATATAGTTTTTCTTTAAATGTTATTTCAAGTTTCTTATAAATTAACTAGAAAATAATTTCACTCAAATATTGTAATCTACAATAAAAACTATTTTTGGGACAGAGAGTAAATGATCGATTAGTATTTACTTAACTTTACTTTGTGCAATATTAAGAAAATTATTTATTTGATTTATGTTTTTTGTGACTCTTGTAAATTTTTCTCCTTTGTACTACCTTCAATTACATTATTTAGTTTTTTAATCCTCAAGTTCGATCAAATAACAATATAATATGAGGTTACTACTTGGTGAAGAGTAGTTTGTTTCGGAGTATTACTTTTGACGGATCGGAGGAGATGGAGGTAAGTTGGCCTAGATTACAATGTCCAAGCTAAATCTACCACCAAATCTTAAAATTTTCGGTTGTGTTTGGTTGGGGATAAAATATTTTCTTTGTAGAATATTTTCTAAAATAAAATAATTCTAAGGAAAATTATTCTTCAATCATATAATCCATTGTTTGGTAGGAAAATATTTTTCTTCCAATAATATCACCAAATATTTTACGCCCAACGACCAAACAAACCATACTTTTGAAATTTTTGTGAAGGTTGTCTTTCCACTGCAAACAAAAACTGATGGCAAAGAGAATTCAAGTTGACGAAATGTAGTAGGTTGAAGCATAACAGGTAGAGATGCTTCCATCATCATCTCTAAAAGTTCACATATGAGTTTTGGGGGGATTGTAATACCCGTGTTAAGACGAGAACTAAAAGAGCTATGAATTGCTTTAATAGCTTGAGCTTCAGTTTTATTAGGAGATTTGCGAATCATGATGTTCATCTTGTGATGCGGGAAGGCAGTTCGCTATTTGATCTAGTGGAATGTCGTGTCTTTCCACCTTCTTTTCTTGTTGACACTATTCAACTGATACAATGAATTGAGTTCTCTTTGTCAAAAAACAATATGAGGTACATAATCTAAAGTATTTACACGGTGGTTCTAAAGAAAGTGATTTTTACGTCAAAATCCAAATGTGTGAAAACAACGAGCCTTTTTCGGTGGTACTTTATCAACGAGAAAGTTTTACTACATGGAGGGGTGTTTGTTCATGTACTTCCTTCATCCAATTTAAATGTGAGACTGCAATACGGCAGTGAACCAATTGGCAGCAAAAATATTTTCTTTATTGTGTGTACATGTACAAAGATCTCCTCATATATATACGTGAGAGGTTTCCTCCAAAACCTAGTTGGAAAAGACTTCTTCTAAACAATACAAATTAACTCCAACAAGTAAGGAAAACCAAGTCATGCTAGGATTGGAACTCTGCCAGCACAAAACTCCTCCTTGCGCCCCACGGTCTGTGCGTAACACCCCCCCTCAAGCTGGAGCATGGGGTTCCGCGTGCCCAGCTTGGACAAAAGATGATTAAACAGACCTGAACCAAGAGATTTAGTGAATATGTCAGCAGGTTGGTCGGTCGTAGGAACATGCGATGTACGGAGAACGCCTTGTTGAATCTCATCCCGAACAAAATGACAGTCTATTTCAATATGTTTGGTGCGTTCATGGAACACAAGGTTGGCTGCGATGTGTAAGGCAACTTGATTGTCACAGTATAGGGTCATTGGCTGCGGATGAGACACGCCGAGTGAAGAGAGTAAGCTCCGTAGCCATTTCAGCTCACAAACGGCGGTGGTCATGGCTCGATATTCGGCCTCCGCCGAGGATCGAGACACCGTTTTCTGTTTCTTTGTTCGCCATGAAATAGGGGAGCCGCCCAAACGTATAAAATAACCCGAGATGGAACGACGAGTGAGAGGGCAACTTGCCCAATCAGAATCACAAAACCCAACAAGTTGAAGAGGACCAGTGGCGGTGAGGACCAAGCCTTGCCCGGGGCGTGCCTTAATATACCGTAGAGTATGGACTGCAGCGTCCCAATGGTCACGGCGTGGGGTTGCCATGAACTGAGATAAAATGTGGACGGCAAATGTCAAGTCCGGGCGTGTGATGGTAAGATAGATGAGACGCCCAACCAACCGCCGATAGGGAGTAGGATCCGGAAGGACTGGACCCGTTGCTAGAGCGAGGCGATGATTTGCCGGAAGTGGGGTGGCGGCTGGACGGCAGCCCAAGTGACCTATATCAGAGAGAATGTCGAGCGCATATTTGCGTTGAGAGAGAAACAGCCCGGAGGAGTTACGCGCGACTTCAACGCCCAGAAAATATTTCAGTACGCCAAGATCCTTCATGTGAAAACATTCTGACAAGTAGTTTTTAAAACGGGAGATAAAAGCTTCATCATTTCCAGCGAGTACCAAATCATCGATGTATATTAGTACTCGGAGTTCCACCCGACCACGCACCAAAGTAAAGAGAGAGTAGTCAGCTTTGGACTGTGTGAACCCGTACCGGCGGAGAGCTGTGGTGAGTTTAGAGAACCAACATCTAGGTGCTTGACGTAGGCCATAGAGTGATTTGTGCAGTCTGCAGACCATGCCTTGCCGTCGGCATGCAAACCCCGGGGTAAGCCGCATGTATACTTCATCGTGGAGGTCACCGTGGAGGAAAGCGTTATGAACGTCCATCTAGTGGAGGCTCCAATTTCGCACGGCTGCCACTGCCAACAGATCCCGGACGGTCACAAGTTTGGCCGTAGGGGCGAACGTCTCTTGTAATCAATGCCTTCCTTCTGCCGATTGCCCTAAATCACCAGTCGGGCTTTATATCTTTCAATGCTACCGTCGGATTTGTGTTTAATTTTATAGATCCACTTCGAGCCAATTGCCTTTTTATTCGGAGGGAGTGGTACTAAAGACCAGGTGTTGTTGGCCGCCAGTGAATCTAATTCATCCTTCATTGCCATCCTCCAGTGTGGGTGTTTGACGGTGTCTTTGAAACTACTGGGCTCCTCATCTGCAGTAATCGCTGCCAAAAAACTTCTGTGTGTGGGAAAAAAAATTATCACAGTTAACAAATTTAGTGATGCAGTGAGCCGTACCTGAAGTGGGGATTGGAACGGATGAACAAGTCGGTGTACCACGAACAGTGTGCATGACAAAGTCCCGGAAATGCGATGGAGGACGTCGTTCACGATGGCTGCGGCGATTGGGTTCCCTATCTTGAGGAGCGGCTGGTGCGGATTCTTGGGTAGGTGGAGAAGGGATGTTTATGTCGGGTGAGGAGGACGAGTTAGAAGATGACACAGGAGCAGTGTCTGTTTGGGTTTCGGTGGAGAGGGTTTCGGGGTGGGCAGTGGTGGGTTGAGTGTGTTGGGGCGACACAGGGGTTTTGGCAGGAACGACTATGGCGTCCAGTTCGTCGTCCACAATGTCGTCTGCTGGAGAGGGGTTCATCGGGGGCTGTGGTTGTGTGACGAACGGAAAGGAATTTTCAACGAATTTAACGTCCCGACTGACAAAGACTTTATTTGTCTCAAGATCCTGTAGTCGCCATCCCTTTTTCCCAAAAGGATATCCAAGAAAGAGACAACGACGTGAACGACTGGCAAATTTATCCCCGTGTGTGAGTTGGTTATGCGCATAGGCCAGACAGCCAAAAGTGTGCAGATGAGAATATGACGGTTCTTGACCAAATAGGAGAGTATATGGAGTTTTTCCCTTTAACAAGGGTGTGGGGGTGCGGTCTATAAGGTATGCAGCGGTAAGAATACAATCACCCCAGTAGGAGATAGGGAGATTTGCTTGGAACCGGAGGGCACGTGCTATATTAAGAATATGTCTGTGCTTGCGCTCAACTCTCCCATTTTGTTGAGGAGTGCCGACGCAAGAGGATTCAAAAATAATTCCTTGAGAGGCAAAATATGGTTTCATGCACGTGAATTTTGTGCCGTTGTCACTGCGAAGTATTTTTATCTGGGCATTAAATTGACGCTGGATAAAAGAGAAAAAATTGCGCAAAACACTAGGTGTCTCGTCTTTATTGGTTAGGAGATACACCTAGGTGGCTCGGGAAAAATCATCAACGATAGTTAAAAAATATTTGGCCCCAGTTCGCGATAGTGTGCGGTACCCCCCCNTTATGCTAAAAGGAACTTTTGCTTTATTCATACTGATGGGAAAAGAATCACGACACTGTTTTGCACGAAAACATACATCACACGGCAATGAAGTGTTTGAAGGGGAAAAACAAAAAGGAAGAAACCGACAAATCTCTGGAGAGGGATCACCAAGTCGCTGGTGCCACACTGAAAAGTCTGCCGTTGTTCGCATCGCAGAGGCCTCGTCACACACGTTCTGAGTAAGATAGTACAGACCGCCAACTTGTTCACTCGTTCCAATCACCTTCTTCGAGGTATAGTCCTGTATAACACAAGATTTGTTAGTAAACTGGATAATCAAACTTCCACTTTTGAGAAGTTGTGAGACAGAAATTAAATTGCAATTGAGTTGTGGCACTAGCAAAACATTGGTTAGTTTCAAAGAGTTTTGGAGAACGACGTCCCCCGCATGCACGGCTAGCGCACTGTCGCCATTGGGCAGGCCGACGTTGCACGCCTTGATGGGCCGGATATTCTTCAATCGATCTCTGTCTCCCATCATGTGCTGGCTACCACCGCTGTCGATGATCCAAGAAATTTTGGTCGTACCTGAAAATTGATTCTCACATTGGACGTTGGCCTGTCGTGCAAAGTAACCTTCTCTGGTACTGTCCTTCGGCTGCTCAGGTTTATTCGCACCATGCCCAGTGGAAGTGCCCCCTCTGCCGTTGCGTCTTCTTCGAGACAAGGTATTGATCCGTCGATGAAACCGAACTTCCTCTTGGCGCGAAGTGCTATTCTCATCGCTCTCGCCCATTCTTCGTAGTTCCTGCCGGTCAGTTTAACCTGAGTAATCAGCAATCCCGGAGTGTCCACGGATTTCAAATCGTACGGACTAGGCTTCTTCATCTCATCGCCGTTGTCCGTATTTTTGGCTGGTGTCTCGTGTTTTAGCTTTGGGGCTTTGGTCATGATGATCGATGCTCCGATACCATGTGAGACTGCAATACGGCAGTGAACCAATTGGCAGCAAAAATATTTTCTTTATTGTGTGTACATGTACAAAGATCTCCTCATATATATACGTGAGAGGTTTCCTCCAAAACCTAGTTGGAAAAGACTTCTTCTAAACAATACAAATTAACTCTAACAAGTAAGGAAAACCAAGTCATGCTAGGATTGGAACTCTGCCAGCACCAAACTCCTCCTTGCGCCCCACGGTCTGTGCGTAACATTAAATGACATGTTTTGGTTTATAATATCTAAATCAAGTTATTTTCAATATATATAATTTCTTTAAGAATTTGGATGAAAAAAAATAAAATTTACATATTTAAAAATACCATTAAAAAGTCTACGAAACAAGATGTAACATGACTATTATTTTATCAAATGAGTAGCGAAAATAGAAAAAGAAAAAGAATGAACTTTGACCATGTAATTAATAAACAAACAATTTAATTTGGAGAGGAGTGTTAGATATAGTGTGAGAAAGATGATGAATTCTCACATTTAAAACATGTAATTTGTATATTATAGAAGTGTAGTGAACTCCTCCTACAAAATTATGTGAGTGGGTGAGAGAGCTTTACTTATTATGAGATTAATGTAGAGTTAAAAATGCGTAATTTTGGTGTTTGTAGTATGACCTTACGCAAAGATGTAAAACAAATGGATACAAATAGGAGTTAAATTATGAAAAAAAGATATAAATAGAAGTGTTATAAATTTTAAATCACAAAAAAAGACATAAAAAGAGAAAGATGGAGAGATCATCATTTGGTATTTAGATGATGGAAAGGTACTATTTGACTTTGATACTGGATGGGCTAATAGCATGTATGGGTGCGTCCGTGGTTTATTAAAGGGGCACCGAAACTCTGATCCATTCAGTCCCATGGTTTTGACGCCCCTTTTGTAAACCACGAATGACACTCATGTCATTAACCTGATGATGGATTCGTCGTTCCTCGATCTTTGCTTTAGCCTACGAGGTACTGGATTTTATGATCAGAGTCGAAGTTGAGTCTAGTGGTGGTGGTGGCAATGTGGTAGCAGAGGGTAGAAATGCATGTGGCAGCGGTGTTGGGAGTGTGGCGCCGATGGTAGTAAGAGTGTGGTGGTAACATAGTTGGCAGTGTGGTGGCGACGGTGTGGCAAAGGAGATTTGTAGTGCGGCGGGCAATGTTGCAGAGGAGGGTGACAGTGTTTGACATCGGCGGCGGTGGGAGTGGCGGAAAAAGTTGGCAGTGTGACTCTTATTATTTACAGGAATTTACGTAAATAGCACTAAAACATAATGATTTTCCCTAAATAGCACTACATATGTTTTTTCCCAATGTAGCACTTTTAGTCATTATTCATTAGTCATTATTCAAGTAAATGTTGGTATGAGTAGTACATACATATTGTTGGAAAGTTTTAGATAAATTAGACATTTTCGGACATAAATTCGGTAGGGTACATAAAATTATTTTCCGAAATAATTATGGACGTTTAATCTCGTAAGTAAGATAAATGTTTCGACATTTTACACGCCAGACATTTTGAATTAATTTTCATATTTAACCAGGCATTTTGAATTAATTTTCATATTGTAATTAACACCCTAACCTTTCTGACACACTTTGATTAATTTTCATATTTAACCAGGCATTTTGAATTGGAGTACTTAGAAAAAAAGTATAACCTCCGTCATAGAACAAATTTCTTAATTCTTTTAGTCAAATGGTGACAACTTTCTGGACACATATGGTGAAAAAGGTATATTTTTTATAGTTGATTAAAATTAAATATTGACTTATAATCAAATATTTATAATCTAAATCTAATAAAAGTAATTTTGTATCCAATGTGAGGAAGAGATTGAAACTACCAAAACACCTATTTTCGAGTCGTCCTCTCGCACGAAGGTTTTAAAAGCTGGTATTTGGCAGGTAAAACATGCCTTTTCAAGCAACCTAACTAACATAGAGGAGATGGAGGCAGTAATGCTGAAAGGTAAAGGGAGGATGCCAAGAATGAAATTTATAATTGCTATATATATGGACTGCCTATTCGTGCAGCATTTGGAGAGCTAGAAATACAATTATTCATCAAAGAAAGTGCACGGTGGAGGACTTTTCTAAGTATATATGCTACCGCTTATATGAGCGCCTATATTTTGAACTTGTTTGGGAATAGCGTTAGTTATTAGCGTTAGCGTTTTGAAAAGGCTATCTAAGGACAGCGTTTAGCGTTAGCGTTTTCAAAATAATCTGCACCGTTAAATTTTTTTCCAAAACGTTAACGCTAAACTTTAACGTTATTCCCAAACAGGCACTTTATGTATAAGAGAGTGAGGTAGTAGTTTGAGGTTTTGTTTGCTTGTTTATTGTGATTAGGTTGTATCAAACTCTTGGATTTGGTAATGAATGATTTGCTTTCTTGCAAAAAAAAATGTATCCATATCTAAGGCCAAATAACACTAGTTTCCCCGTGGTTTAGAAAAAAGACATCAATACCCCCTGTTTGCAAAACTTATTTCAAAAGTCTTTGTGGTTGCAGAACATTGCATCCATGCCCCTTATGATCATTTTCCACTCATTATTTCCGGTGAAGAGGGAGCATTGATGCATATTTTCCCAACCATATGGCGCCCTAGTGCTCATTTCTTTTTTGCGTTTATTTTTTGTTTTTCCCATTTTTTCTTTTATTTGTTTCTTTTACTTTAATTTTTTTATAATGTTCTTAAAATTTAAAATTATTTTTGTTTCAAAAAATAATAATTAACATATGCTGCATTTGTTCGTTTGAAACCAATAATCTTTATTTTGTGTTTTTTGAAATAAAAAGTAAAAACTTTTTTGAGAACTTAAAAGAATAAGGAATAAAATAAGAAATAAAAACAAAAAAATAAAGACGAATATCCTTTTAGACATCCCAATTCTAAGGAGTTTTTTAGACATTCTGAAAATTCTTTTTGCATAAGACTCTTTTTTGCATGTTTCGATTTTCTTCATTTCATTTTTCCATATTTTTCATTTTTTATTCTAGAAAACAAAAGGTGAAAAACGTTTAATTTGAGATAGATGGAGTATATGTTATTTTTTTTATTTCAAACTCAAATAGGATTGAATTTTTTAAAACATTTTAAAATTGAAATTGAAAAGGAATTTTAAAAAATTAGGATTAGGAAACAAATAGATAAAAAAAAGAGATATAAAGGGAAAACCCCAAATAATAAACAAAACATATGATGCAAGAAGCCAAGAACTAGTGTGTTTACCGAAAATTGATCTGAGTGTAACATTTTAAAATCACAAATTTTCGAAATTAGTTTTGAAAATAAATGAAATATTGGTGTCAATATTTCAAACCACAACAGTGACTAAGCTATTTGGCTCCATATATCTAATACCGAGTATTAATTTAGAACCATAACTTTTAATTTATTGATTTTGAATAGGAAAGAAAGAAGGAAAAATGGATAAAAGAAGAAGAAGAAGTCAAAACACCAACAACAATGCGCGGGGTACGTTTTTGTGTGCTTTCTCTGAAAGAAGAAAGGAAACGTGAAAGTTTGATTTTTTCTCTCTTTTTCTTTTCTTTTAGGTTATATAAATCCGTTACGTTACAGCTGATAGATCCCTCCCAGTCATAACCGATCCATACATACTTAACGCTCCTTCACTCCTTAATTTAATTCTCCATTTAGTTTTTTTAAAGCAAACACTTATTTATTTATTTTCTTTCAATAGTACATAGAGTATTACTCCATATTATTTTTCTCCCCACATAAAATTTTAATAGCACAATTTTTTTTACTCCCTCCCATAAAACATTTCCTGTTTCAAAAAAGACGCACCCTTAAAATGAGTAATTTTGGTGTTATTTTCTAATTTTGCCCTTACTTTATAAGGACAAGGGAGGATATTTATTCTTTAATCATCTTCTATATATTTATATTACTCCTTCAGGTTGTTTAAAATAATTTTTTCTAGCTCACTCCAGTTTTTCTTAATAGAAATTAGAATGGAGGAATCCTCCGTCGCGGATGCCGCCGCCACGAGTTTGCAGAAGAAAGCTCCGGTGGCGGCGGACGACGACCGTGCATCCGCGAGGACGGGGAGGATGCCGTACAACCCTTTTATCTCCTTGGAAGATGGGTCTCCTTGTAATGATCATCAGGCCGTGGCGGCGGCTCCGCTTTTGTCTCCGGCGGTGGTGGCGGAAGACGGAACGACCCGACAACGGGATCGTCAGGCGGCAGCGCAGAATAACGGCCAGTGCTGGTGCCATCCGGCGTTGGAGCCTTTCGTCCACCCCGCCTCGGTTTTGGCAGGTTTTGAGTCGAAATGTTCTTTGGAGAATAATGTAGCTCCGGCGCTGACCACCACCGGGACTAGTAATTAGCTCACCGGCGGCCGGAAGTCCTTTTTTGGCTTAATAATTTCCATAGATTTATTTTTTTGGCTTCCTTTTTAGACCTTGTTATTCGGATTGTAATTTCAGAGTTAAATGTAGGAAAAAACTAGAAATAGTTGGAAAATTTTAAAGAATTTAAGTGTTAAAAAGTCATTAATTACAAAAAAATGTTAGACACGATTTTATTATGTGGCCTGAGTTATCATTTATCTAATTAATTGATCATTGACCTAATAAATACCCTACGTACTTAATTGGTAATTATTCGATGGACGTAATTACCCTTATGACCTAATTAGGGTTTCCCCTTGGGTGTATATATATAGAGGTCATTAGGCAGAGATTAACACACCAATCTTACGCCTTCTCTCTGCCTCTCTATTCTCGTGAGTCTCATCCTCACCTTAGCCATCATAACGATACACCCTAAACGGGAACTCGATCTGCGTGAGAATCATGGCTTCATCCCTAACTACGTTTACAGGATTATCAGGTACACATGATTAAATCCCTAATTTATATTTTATGTTTAAAAATTGATCAACATGTGGTATCAGAGCAATATGTTGATTAATCAATTCTATTTTTGTTCCCTAAACTATTGAAATTGAAATCGGATTATCAGTTTTACTCTAACCAGAATGGATTTGAGATTCTCTGTTTTCTGATTTGACGGTGTATTGCGTTTTTCATATTAAAATAATAACAATAATAATAATAAACTAATACCACAGTTATCGGATAAACAAGTTCTAATCCTAATGACTCTTATCTCCGATTGGTTGGTGTTTCATGTTTCTTCAAAATCATTTAGTTATACGCCGTGATAATTTTTTTTACTGACATCAAACAAAAAAAAAATGATCTGCTTTGGAAATCAATATGAATGTTTTGATTTCCCTAAAATCTAGATCGGGCTTTCTTCAAAATTTAGTCCATAAAACTTTGGGTTTTTTTTTTATTATTTTGAATGTCAGTAAGTATAAATTTTTGATAAATTATACATAATTCTTCATCCTTAGTTTGATTAAATAATTTTTTTTTTTGGTATTTGATTTGAAACATAATTTTGTTTCCTTAAACTGTATGGCATATCTTAATATTGCATAATGTATTCTGTTTCCTTATTTATTAATTTATTTTTACCTAGAATAGCAAAACTAAGTAAGGAATATGCTAAAATACCATAAAAATTTAAAATGTTTACTTGTTGAAAATCTCTTGCCTTATATGCCTTTTGATTTTCTAATTAAATTAATCTCAATGGGTCCCCAAAATTTTTTGTAGTCCCGCCCCGAATCGCTTTAACTTTTGCGGCTAATTAATTATTAACAATAAATTATAAATCATTTGACTAATCTAATATAAAATTTATTTTTTTATGATTAGTTAAATTGATTTACTTTGCTTGACTTGAATAATACCTTAGAGTGCGCTTCTGCCCAAAGGTGTTGTGTAACATTCAAATTGCACATGATTATTTTATTATTCATAATACTTAAATAAGTGGTCATAACCAAAGTGAAAGCCATTTGTTTAAGTAGAATTAAATTTAGTCTATTATTTTTGGTGTTATAATAGACTCTTATCACAGCTTCATTATTATATAATGGTCTTTATCTTCGCCAGCCTTAGTTCATTACCCCTTAAGTTCTCCTTTAATTATGTGTCTTATTTCTCTCATTTGAATCCACTATCAGCCCCAAATATGGGAATTGAAACCTTGAACGGTGCGAATTTTTCTTCATGGAAAGATTCACTGATGCTAACTCTTGGCATGTTGGATTTTGATTATGCACTGAGAGAGCCTGCCCCTCCTGCCCTCACTGATAAAAGTACCGCTGAAGATAAAATAGTACATGAGAGATGGGAGAGGTGCAACAGAATGGCTCTTATGCTCATTAAAAATTCCATCAGCATAATCATCAGGGGAGCTATTCCAGATTCATCTAATGTTAAAACATATCTGGCTTCCGTGGAGGAACAATTCAAAGCAACTTCTAAGGCACATGCTAGTACTCTTATTTTGAAGATGGTGACTACAAAATATGACGGGAATAGCGGCATTCGTGAGCACATCATGATGATGAACGACATGGCCCGTAAGCTCAAGGGATTAGACATGGAGATCAGTGAAGGTTTTCTGGTGCACTTTATAATGACTTCTCTTCCTGCATCTTTTGAAGCTTTCAAGGTCAACTACAACACCCAGAAGGTCAAGTGGTCGATGAATGAGTTGATTGCTATGTGCGTACAAGAAGAAGAGCGTCTGAAG